TAAGGACCGTAGTAAAAAAAAAAAGGCAATTATCGAATAAAAATTTAGGGGACGGATGAAAGGGGGGAGGTGATAATTAAGTCACCCATACTAGTTGACTTTAAACATCGACATTTTGTTAATTATCAATGTTGTTGCTTTCTTATCATCCCAAAAATGGTCTATCTAGTCAATAGAAAGAGCTGGAATTACCACGTTGATGAAATTAGCAACACATTTAACCATCCCAATGGAGCACATCACACTCATCCAAGCCCCACTCTATACTGTAATAACATAATGTATGAACGTACCTGCCTTCAGTTGACTGCAGTGTATTCTTCAGAATGCGAAAATATGTCTCAAATACAGCTGAAAGAGTCTCTGACTGCATCCTTCTCCTATCCATAACATCTTGGACGAATGAAGCAGACTTGTAATCAGAAGCAACCTATTAAATTATTACAAAAATTAATGAGGCGGGAGACATATGATAATTCCACATGAAAGCACCCATGCCATCTTTAACAAGGCCACACATTTTTAATTTGAAAGAGTTCTTATCATCCTTCTTGATGCAAGTAAACAAGTTGTCTTAAACACTAGTCTTTAGCTTGTCGGCTGTGGAGAATAATAGATTTTGGGTAGTGTAATTTCCCAACAATTAGTGCTTCATGAAGTATTTTGATAATAGCCATGGAAGCAAATACGTGATTTCATGCATTCCAATGGTTAGAGCTTTTGGATGCTGCTAAATGTTTACTGGGATCAAAAGAAAAGGGAAGGGTGTTGAAAGAAGACTATATGGGATGATCAGGAGACCGATATAATGCATATGAATTTTCCATGGGTGGACCAGAGAGACTTCAAGACGATACTTAATAGGAAAAGCATTTCCACACAATTTTCCCAAGCTTGCACAGACGAGTTTAAATCTTTTTCTTCATAGGCACAATCTTATTGATTTTCCCTTCAGCCAGAGCAGATGGATGTGATCTAATATGAGGGAGAGGCCCTCATTCTTGCCAGGTGTCTTCTTGTTTTGAATCGTAGGTTTTCAGTCTGCTCAGATAGCTTCTTACAAGAACCATCTCATACCGTTTTTCCTTTATATCAAGAAGCAAATGGCATTTGATGAAGCATATACTCATTCAAATTTGAAAACAAGTGACTGAAAGTTACTGACTTCAATGATATGGTTCAGTGGTGAGATGAGCAACAGATGGATCATCTCTATACTTTCGGAGCGGCTAAGAAGTTGAGAAGAAGAGTCACCTTCGATTATGATTAGAGTTAGATAACTTGGCCAGAGAAGGGTACATCTATATAAGCTGCTTATTGCCAAGGTGCTAGCAAGGAGGCTGGATAATGTACTGGCTGGTGCGGGTGGTGGATTCTCATAATGCTTTTGTTGGGGCATTGTGGGGTCAGGGAGCAGACTTCACAACTGATTAGATTGTGGATTCATTCATTAAAGATGACAAGAAAATGCATCTTTTTAAACTAGATATGGAGAATATTTCAAAAAAAAAAAACTAGATATGGAGAATATTTCAAAAAAAAAAAACTAGATATGGAGAAAACTTCCAACTGTCTTAAAACATCTGGTTCTTGTCTTCAGTGGCCCAACTGGATTCAAGCCTGTATTTTCACTAAATCCTGTGTGATTATGGTCAATGGGGGATCTAGTACTTCCTTTGTGGTTCTAGTTGATGGGGCACGGTTCAATTTCTTCCTGGTGTAAAGGCATTTGAAGCAAGAACTGTTGCCCCTTTTTGTTTACACTATGATGGAAGCTCTCAGTTAGTTAATTTCCAAGGCCTAGGAAGATAGATATATTTAAGAAGTTGATGTTTGCAGAGAGGTATGATTCTGTTGGGATAAGATATTCTTTTTTTTTTGAAATAATGCTGTCAGGATTAGACA